AGGTGAAAACTAATATTTCTTTTGCTTAAAAGTGAACTTCACGATTAGCCAGGTTGCCCATTTTTCTGCTTTATATCTGCCACACTATATAATTATTATAATCATAGATCAAATTCTTACGCTTAAGCGATAGAAAATTGATCTTATTAAAGAACTTTCTTAATTCGATAACTAGGGGATTAAATTACTTAAATAAGTTCAGTAAAAGAATATTTCACCTGTTTTCCACATGTTCAACAAAGAAGGGCTCGCGAACAAAGAAGCGGTTATAAAATAATTGTTCTTTTATATAAGGAATAAAAGTTATTCGTCATTCTGCTTAGTTGAATGTTGACACTTTTCAAACCATTTCATCATCTTCTTCTCATCAAATTTCTGATCTTTTGCAGCAAAAAGAAGTCTTCTGGAAGGCTTCATTTAATTTTAATAGTTTTTCAGAGTATACTTCAGATTTAATTGTATTGTTACACGGTAGAGGCTCATAATATACAAATTCTTTGCAATCCCAACACATGGTGTGTTTTGACCCAGATCTGTTGCTTTGCTCACAATTGTATAGCATGCATTTTCCATCAGCAGTTGCAATTCTCTACAGAAATGGATCGTTTTCGCGTCGTTTTACCCCACGTCTTCTTATGCTGTCGCTAACAGTTGTTTTAAGTAAATTACGTTTTTCTGCAATCTCACGAATCACCCGGTAAGGCTTTCACTGAAAAACTCAAGAACGAAGTTTCGCACACCAATTTCGTCGAGCGTAGCATTATGCTACAGCATTCGTTCGATAAGCAGAACATATTTCTCTATGTGCTTCTGCAGTTCTTTTAAATATTTTTTTCCGAGGCCCGTCCACTTTTGCTATTTTGATACAAATATGACGATGTTTACGTTTTTCTTTATGACCAATCACTCAGACGATCTCCCCAACGGGCGTAACGCAAAGAGAACGAAAGAAAGCAGGGAGAAGGTGGTGGCCGCAGCCTAGCACGCGAACAATGACTTTGTAGTTGTGTTTCTTGCGGGCTCGGCTTATATTTTTACGAGAACCCGTCATTTTGACGGGTAAATCTTGTGACTCCGCTCTGTCACAAAAGTAAAGATAAGAAACGAAAATTTAAAACAAACTTTCCTTGATCGATTAAAAATACGATGTTAAAAAAGGGACGCAATCTCTTTACAGACATGACCACAATGCAGAAGAAGCACAATAAACCTCCGTCAACATTGATAATGACAATCATGGTAATGAAAGTTGTAGACGAAAATATGATAAAAGTTTTGGTGTTTTCCGAGGAAGTTTTCTAGTAGTTTCTGCTTAGTTCCCTTCTTCTTAGTTCCCTCTTATAATTTCGATCCTTATCGATCAAACCATATATATGCCAAATTTCAGCTTCCTATTTTGACTTTTGCAACTATGACGACTCACAAAATATAACCGTCAAATTGACGGGGTTACAACCGACGTAGACTGTTTCATGCCGTAAATGGTATCGTAGAATTCTTCGGTCGCTGTTGTAAAGCGCAAGTTTAATATATTTTTCTTATTTTGTACGTGTGTTATTAATACTTGTAGAAAACACATTCAATAATGCGTGTTACGTAACTTACCTAAATAACAATTCAGCGTTTACATAAACCTCAGTCCGCTACAGATCGGTTTCTTCCTATTGTACGTAGGAATTTTCTTCAAATACGCCAAATATGACATTCCATATCGAGAATGGCATAGTTTCATTCTTTTTTATCTGCTTTTGTAGTCTGCGCTTCAATAAGAAGATATTCACGTACAAGATATTCTTTTTCTTACCATCATTCTTTCTCTTTCTAAGGTCGCCTTTAGTTAAAGAAACTCCCTCTTTTTTCTTCAATAATCATATTCCAACTGAATAGGATTCCCTGAGCAACAGATGGCGTTCACTTCTTACAATACTTTATATTAATTCAGACAATGCCGGAATGCTTATTGTCACCTAATAGGGACAACAGGTATAGTTAAGTAGAACAAGGAGTGTACACGAATACAAAATAAATTTAATAATCATTTCCTTGGTTGCAATTTAGCAAAACTGATGAGTATTGTTACTAGGCATAAAGCAAAACGGCTGAGAATTGATTACATGTAACAAAAGAAAAAATTAGCAAAATGTAAGAATTTTAAGGTTTTTCTTTTTCAAAAAGGACTGAATATGTAGCTATTTTGTTTTCCTTTTTTGTTGACTAAAAATGTCCTGCTGTGATAACCTTGTTGTGTACGATTTCCTAAAGACATAATCGTTCTTATGATCATCAAGGTCTATGCAATTATCATTTCTAATGTTAATGCTCAATAAGAATAAATGACTGTCAACTATCATCATAAAAGGATGGAAAACGAGAAGGTCGTAATACGACTAAAGTAAATAGTGGTATTTTAGCCAAAGCACATCTAAGTTGATGACAATTTTAGTATCGTTAATTTAATAAAATAATATTAGAAAATAAAAAAATCTTATAAATTTTGAGATATAAAATTGAAAGGTTTTGACTTAATCTTTGCAAAATGATTCTCTTTACATCTGCGTAGACGTAATAACTCTCTTCTCTCTTCTCTCTGCCTCTATCTCTCTTTCGGTCTTTATTCTTACTCTGCATCTAGCAGCATAATTCGTAAAAAGTTTTCTATGCCTTCCTTCCAAGCTTGATTACCTTGCTGTTGGTGTAATAATATAAAAACCATGTGTAAGCGATGTTTAAATAAAAAATAACCCAAACTTTAGTTTTATCTCGATTATTTCATGAGCTTGTAAATGGCATAAGTGAGTTCGGTAAATATAGATATATGTGTGTAGATCTGCATCACATGCTAACTCCTGCGTGTTTGAATTCATCGAAAAGTAAAATGCAAAATAGTTGCCTTTGGTGGTTTCGCTTTTGTTGTTATATCCTAACATTTGATTACGCGTTGAAAATGGTATACTTCATGTCGTTCTTCCCACCTGCTGCTCAACTTCGGTTACGAATGTAGACATTGCATGTAATCATAATTACTTCTTTACTTTTCATACAAATATAATTTGTGTCTGATAATCTCTTAGCATGTTGAAGCATGGCAAAGGTAATGAATGCATAACTTTATGCCGATATTTACTAATACTTTAATTTGCCAAAAAAGGATAGAGAGTTGCTAAAATAATAAGATGCAGTGAGTTACGCCATCTGTTGAGTGGTTTGAACTTATCTCCTCGTCTGTTTTGGTTATGGTTTGCTACGAGCTCGAACTCTTTTCATTCATCGTATTAAGAGAAACGCATACAGAGCACACACAAAAAATATAAACGTCACATAAATCCATAGTTATACATAAACATAGTTTACTATCAAACTCGAACATTAGTTTCTCGTTTCATTAGAGAAATCCATGCGTGCTTACAACCGTATATTAAGTCTGGCATAGGTTTGTTTTCAAATGTAATTCGTTTCATTCTTTATAGCGCTTCATATTGAAATTGCCTAAATTTTCTATTTGTCCGGTATATCAATGTTAATTTTAGTTCAAAATGCACGCATTTTCTATAGGCTCACAGAGAAGGTTTCCCTAATTCTTATTGTTTTGTGTATAGATTTTACGCATTTGTTTTTCACAATAAACGAATTTATTGTAGAAATGATGAATTTAAATACGATAAATATGCATATCAAATCCAAATATTTTCTATATTATATAACATACATATAGGTATATTCCAAGAAAAGTGTATTAATATTCATTCGCACATATTCCCAATTCGAGCGTAGCTTAGCGTAGTGTATGTTATTGTTTCCTAAAGCACATACATTCGCTCGTTCATTCGCATCAATAATACTTTCATTGGTTGTACGAGAAAAGTTTAATTTTCCCATTAAAATCCTTTACCCAACGATGTTAATTCGATCTATACGAGTGTTGTGGCACGCAGTAAAATTTACCAAACAAGTTTAGTATTCAACTTATCAATCGAAAATTATGCAAAGAAACCGGGAAGTAAACTCCACAGATACTGTATGGCAGGTTTTACCCTACGTCCGACTTTGGGGTTGTCAAACATTTTCGCAATTTCGGTTGAAATTTAATTACTTTGACGAAATTACTGCAATTATCCCAGAAGAATTACATTACATCGCAACTTGAGCTTCAACGATTCTAACAAACAGATTTCGTTGTAGATTTGTCAAATTTTATTCCTTTATTTTGAAAACATTTCTGAACTAATTTGAATTATGATAATTGGGGGGACGCTAATCTCTTAATTGATAACTGAAAACCTGATAAAAACAAAAATTAAAGAAAAAAAATAAATGAAACTCTAAAGAGTCCTTTGAATATAAAAAGTCTCTCAAAATACATCCTAATCTAATAAATCTTTCTTAATTACGCGTACAGATCACATTTACTTCCAGAAATGCGAAACTCGAACGGTCTTCGGAAAACTGAATTAATAATTTTGATTAAAAAGTCTTTTCTCAATCTCGGGTTCAGCTACTTTTAATATTATCTGCATTACATCAGGTAT